AGTTCCTTATCCTTTTTTATTTACATTTCCTGCTAGTGACTCTGTTATATGATGCCTCCTTCCTACTCTGGCTGCTGTTAGGCCTACCAATTTTAAGTTGAATGTCCATTTATTTCATTTTTTTGTTGGACTGTCAACATGTGTCAGCATTATGGTTATGTTTCATGGAGCGGGTAGATAATATCGGTAACCTGTTATATTGTGTAACTACAGTCTGGGGTGGGTTCATGTCCCACCTGGTGAAGAAGTTGGTCTGCGGGGCGTTGGGGGAGGAGGCCTGGAGGGTCTGGGTGGTCGGGCGGGCCGTCCTCCCACTGATGGAGACCCTTTGCTGCTCACTGTCCTCCGGGTGCTGGGAGAAGATCTGTGATCAGTGTCCACAGCTGGAGAGCTGTCTCGACTTGACCTGTCCAAAAAAAAAAAAAAAAAAAACAGAACCAAAGTAAGACCAAATAAATCTAGAGATGCCCATCAACCAGTTTATTCACTCCATTTAACATAAATTTACAGATTCTCCTACAACTCTTCATATATACACACACGAGTGAAAAAGGAGGAGGAAGAAGAGAAATGTTGTGTAAACCTGCCCCTCTCCCAATTACAAAATACATTTTCATGGTTTCATGCATTAAACTAAGTTGCAAATAGTTTATCAATCTCCTCATTAACTTAAAAGTGTATCATTTTATTTCCTATAAAGTGTTTTGAAATATTTAAAGTAGAGCATTTTACAACTCCTCATCCAAAATATTTATAATTTTACTCCATGCACCAAAATGCACATTTGCTTTAAAGCAGTATGCACAATTTTAATTTAGAAATCTCATTTCCTTCAGTTATTTCTGATACTTGCAATTAAGACAAAGAAATAAATTAATTAAAATAATAAATTAATAGTCATAATCGCTTTCCAACTTTAAACAAATAAATATATTACTTTCAAGACATTTGAATAAAATGATGTGCCACTAATAGGCCTTTATTATATACCTTACGGCAGGATCTCCATTGTGCTGTAATGATTCTCCATTAGATGTACCTAATAAAACAAACAAAAAACAAATCTAAAATCTGCTGCCATACCATGTAATCTGCACTGTTAATATGAACTGAAATGGTTTAATTTAAATCCAGGTTGCTCACTGTAGTGGTCGGCTTCTGCTGAGGCAAACATTTCTGGGTCCACCGTCATTCCGTCCAGACAGACAGACAGATCTCCCACCACGTCTGAGTGCTCTCTGTCAGCGTGTAGCTGGAGTGACTGCACCACATCAGAAACTACAGAGACAACACATCTGCATCTGAAATACACTGTAAAACCTTACCAATGCAAAATGGTGAGATAAAGTGCAGATGAACATCATAAATCACCATCACATCTGGACAACAGTTACACATGCAATATGTCAAATAAATGAGAGGAACAAGAAAAAAAAGATTACTGGGCTGCTTCTGCCTAGGAGGATTCTTATTGTTGCAGGTTCAATCAGGAGCTTGTTTGTAAAGTACACAAAGAAGATGCATCATCTGGACTAAAAGCTATTCTGACAACTGTGAGTTTTTCTGCTTTGACATGGAACATCAATCGGTATGTAATTTGCACCACAAGTTAACCATCAGCACTGCTGGAATGAGTGTAGCTATGCAAAAACCCAGGTAGACTTCTCAATGACTAACATACCAGAAATGATGACTACAGCCTGAAATCTGCAAGAAATTCAAGCTGTTTTTATTGCATGTTTTTCCACTACTGGATTAGTTTCCAAAACTACTCAACTTGTCACCAAGAGATGCAGCTGCAACATACTCCAAGCATGGACATAAGATCCAACTTCAGCTAGAAGCACATGGAAAGAAGAACTATTTCAGAAAAACTGGTGTGAATCTTTCACATTCCTTATGAACTACAGGTCCTCTACAAAAAAATAGCATATTGTGATAAAGTTCATTATTTTACATAATGTAATGATAAAAATTAAACTGTCATATTTTAGATTCATTGCACACCAACTGAAATATTTCTGGTCTTTTATTGTTTTAATACTGATGATTTTGGCATACAGCTCATGAAAACCCAAAATCCCTGTCTCAAAAAATTAGCATATCATGAAAAGGTTCTCTGAACGAGCAATTAACCTCATCATCTGAATCAACAAAGTAACTCTAAACACCTGCAAAAGATTCCTGAGGCTTTTAAAAACTCCCAGCCTGGTTCATTACTCAAAACCGCAATCATGGTTAAGACTATCGACCTGACTGCTGTCCAGAAGGCCATCAATGACACCCTCAAGCAAGAGGGTAAGACACAGAAAGAAATTTCTGAACGAATAGGCTGTTCTCAGAATGCACCTCACTCTGGGAACAGGGTATCAAGGCACCTCAGTGGGAAGTCAGTAGGAAGGAAAAAGTGTGGCAGAAAACGCTGCACAACGAGAAGAGGTGACCGGACCCTGAGGAAGATTGTGGAGAAGGGCCGATTCCAGACCTTGGGGGACCTGTGGAAGCAGTGGACTGAGTCTGGAGTAGAAACATCCAGAGCCACCGTGCACAGGCGTGTGCAGGAAATGGGCTACAGGTGCCGCGCTCCCCAGGTCAAGCCACTTTTGAACCAGAAACAGCGGCAGAAGCGCCTGACCTGGGCTACAGAGAAGCAGCACTGGACTGTTGCTCAGTGGTCCAAAGTACTTTTTTCGGATGAAAGCAAACTTTGCATGTCATTCGGAAATCAAGGTGCCAGAGTCTGGAGGAAGACTGGGGAGAAGGAAATGCCAAAATGCCAGAAGTCCAGTGTCAAGTACCCACAGTCAGTGATGGTCTGGGGTGCCATGTCAGCTGCTGGTGTTGGTCCACTGTGTTTTATCAAGGGCAGGGTCAATGCAGCTAGCCATCAGGAGATTTTGGAGCACTTCATGCTTCCATCTGCTGAAAAGCTTTATGGAGATGAAGATTTCATTTTTCAGCACTACCTGTGGTTTTGGCACTGTGGTTTTGGCTCACAGTGCCAAAACCACTGGTAAACGGTTTACTGACCATGGTATTACTGTGCTCAATTGGCCTGCCAACTCTCCTGACCTGAACCCCATAGAGAATCTGTGGGATATTGTGAAGAGAAAGTTGAGAGATGCAAGACCCAACACTTTGGATGAGCTTAAGGCCGCTATCGAAGCATCCTGGCCCTCCATAACACCTCAGCAGTGCCACAGGCTGATTGCCTCCATGCCACGCCACATTAAAGCAGTCATTTCTGCAAGAGGATTCCCGACCAAGTATTGAGTGCATAACTAACATAATTATTTGAAGTTTACTTTTTTGGTATTAAAGCACTTTTCTTTTGTCGGATGAAATATGCTAATTTTTTGAGATAGAAATTTTGGGTTTTCATGAGCTGTATGCCAAAATTATCAGTATTAAAACGATAAAAGATCTGTAATATTTCAGTTGGTGTGCAATGAATCTAAAATATGACAGTTAAATTTTTATCATTACATTATGGAAAATAATTAACTTTATCACAATATGCTAATTTTTTTTTTTTTAGAAGGACCTGTATGCAGTTTAGTTTCACATACTAGAGCCAAGCATTTTGCTACAAACTGATAAAAAAAAAAATTCTGTTTATGCAATCTGATGCTCTCAAATGCTCCAAAACACATCAACACTGAAAAAGTATTCAGAAACCTTCAGCTTTTGCATATTCTATCAAGTTTTTCACTAATAGACCTGCAAAATAATACCTCATTTTGATTAGGTTAGTTGACATTAAAATAGTTTTTATAAACTGAATCTGAAAAATTTGGTATGCTTTTGTATTTTGACCCTTATTGCTACCAAACAGTTTCAAATCTTTTGAGGTGCATCTCCAGCAGCTTTGAAATTTTACAGCGGACATCTTTGTCCATTCTTCTTAGCAAAACATCTCCAGGTCAGTCAGGTTGGATACAAAGGATGTGTGAACTAGACCTGTGGCAATAAGCAATAAATCAATAAATCACATAATAAATTAAAACAAGCTCAATAATTTCCATTTGCATGATCATCCAGTCTGGTGCTTTGGCCCAACTAGATCGGTTTTGAAGGACAGTTTTGTTTGCAGAGACTTCATAACTCATTTTATTTGTTGTTTCTGTTTATTTTAGATATTTAAAATGTCTTCCAGTTGCAGTGTTAATATTTATTAGACTTTAAAGTTTATTGATCTTTGAGAATATGTTCTTGCGTTATTATGCCATTACTTGAAAATTGTCACAAAACAACAATATTATCGTTTATCACAATAACTTTTGGGTCAATTTATCGCCTAGCAAAATTTTGACAGGCCGAGTGTGAACATCACTATTCAAAGGTTTCAAGTTTCACTATCAGATTTCATTGAGATTAAGGTGTGGACTCTAACACAAGTATGCTTAATTTGTCAAGTCTATTGACATGCGCCTGGATGTTTCAGACACATCTCTGTCTGCAACAGCAGAGTTGCTTCCTCAGGTGTGTAGAACTCTGGTGGTCCGTTTACCTGCCTCGAAGCTTCGTTAAATTATATTTTATTATTTGGCGCACCATGTTCCGGCCGGGTTATTACTTGCGTTGCACAGTGCTCTCACTTCCGCCTGAGTTGCTGACGAAAGCTAAGTGTTAGCAGCATAACGTCCAGCTTTCAAGTTTGGCCTGGGAGGATTTTATTGAGTCATGATTATGTCCAGGCTTTTGTAATTTTTCGGGGAACCAATAAGCATCCTTAAAATGACTGGCGCAATGCCTGGAGCTTTTCTCCTCCTGGAGCTGCTGCCTTGTGGCCGGTTCAAAGCGAACGGTGGGGACGAGTGGTGAAAGTGTATTTATACAGGCGAGCGGATATTTACACTGCGGGCAGCTGCGCATTAAATAATTAACGCAAGTTTAGCTTTACGGACGAACCGAAAAATTAATTTCACATCACCCCGGTCGCAACAAATGGGTGGCGGAGCTCGTCGTGGCGGCACGTAGCTGGTAGATGAGTTTCTGTGTGCAACGAACTAAGAAGTCAAATCCCATCGCTAACATGAACACAAAAGCTATAAATGTCTGGGCAAGATGAGAGTTCATCTGTTAGACTGACTGAGACGAAAACATAAAACACAAAGCTGGAGTGTTGACATTATTTTTATAAGTGTATTTGTGAGCCTGCCTCTTTATTATTAAATTGAATATAATTTCAGATTTTTGTATAACTTTTCTTCTGGTTAACTTAGAAAGTGAGCCATTATTGTTACAGGTTAATTTTCTAAACTACAAAAAAGTAATTGTTAGAGAAGCTCAAATGCAAAAAATTGGATTGATGTTGATATCTGATATTAACTCTGCTGTTATGCTAGATTTACCAATGTTTTATTTTACCCGATCAATCGTAAGAATAATCGATAGATTACTCAACTACTAAAATATTTGTTTACAACAGCCCTAATTCCAACTACTCACTTTTCATGTTGTTGGACTTGAGAGTCTCGCTGATGTCCAGCGTGGCCATACCTAAAAACACGTCTGTCTTCAAGGTCTGGTGGCTCCACACACGAAACACGAGTTTGCTGAATGGAGTCACAATCCTGTTGAGGCAAAATGTTTTAATAAATCCAGAAACAAAGCTTCTGCTTTTTAGAGACCCTCAGAGTCCTTGTATCATTTTCTTTATTATAAAAATAAAGTTTTATAGCAAACAGGATACTTGGTCTGCACAAATGTATCGATACTAGGCTTCAGGTAAAACATATTGCAGGTGATTTACCTGGATCATCTAAAACATCTACATACATGTTCCTCTGGCTAATAGTCAGACTATTCAAGGACATAGAGTGTCTATAATTATCACCATGACAGCTGTTTGACCAGCACCAGGAAAATAAATTGTGAATATATGGCTCCAATTACCTCCCTTAGAACATACATGCTTCTGTTGTCAAGGCTCTAAAAGAAATTGTAGAAGAGCTCTGTAATATAATGAAAAACTGAGGCCTGTTTGGCACCATGCATTGTTTAAATGCTAAGGCTAGACATGCAAAAAAAAAAAAAAAAAAACATTGTGACGGAGTTTGTCCATTTCTAATATAAAGAGCCCAACATTTTCAAAATCCTTTTAAAAACATAAAAAATAAAGTTTAATAGGAATTTATGTCAAGTATGTCTACAGTGGATTGGACATCTCACGGTTTTAAATCCTTTTCCCACTTAAATCATTCAGTAATAAAGTGGAACTGTGATGCTTTGGTCTGAATTCCTCATTATCATCACTCCAGTCCTTTTCATTCCTGTTCTGAGGTTTTTCTGAGAGAAACTCATTTTGGTGCCGTCCCTTTAAATGCAAACAGTGCATTTCCAGCCCCGCCCACCTCCAGGTCACAAAGCGTTTCACTCCACCCCTCTCAGCCATTTTTTGTAGTTCGTTAGTAGAGATGCGATTAAAGTTTTTTTCCCCATAAAGATTTTTGTTCCCAAGAAGTTGTCTGCTATAGTTAAAGCTGTGCTTTGTGCTTTGTTTTTCATAACAAAGTTGTCATTAGTCTCCTGCAAAGAAACATGCGAGAGGACTTTACTCCAGCAGCAGAAGAAAGCGGCACTAAAATTTCCATAAAACTTTCTGAGCTCATAGTTTTGTTTTAGAAAAAAAACTAATCCAAAGAAAATTGCTGTTTTTCAGTCAACCCTGGAAATAGATTAATAATAGTTTTCAAGAACTGCAGACTTGTTTTCAGAAACACCTGATAGGTAACATTTAAGCCTTCAAGGCGAGTAATGTGAAAGGCATTACTTACGCATTACTTTTAAGCTGCCTTATGCAGCTTTAGCACTGCCTCCTAAAGCTGAGTAAATCCAAAACATAACATGCCAATTTTTGCCCGACTAGTCACTGAAGTGAAGTCCTGGTAATATCTGTGAAACAATGTCACATGAGTCTTCAGTTATGCTGACTTACACGGTGAGTGGCTGTTTCCATTTGGGACTGTGAGTGCTGTTGCATTTCTCCGTTTTCTTGGATTGCCCGTCGACCGTCACTTCCACATAAGGACTGGGAGCAAACCAGTTCTTCTTGTTTTCTTTCAGTTTTGCTGATAGCACTGAAACAGATAGAGGAGGCATCATATAACAGAGTCACTAGCAGGAAATGTAAATAAAAAAGGATAAGGAACTAAAAGGAGAAAGCAAACAACCAATCTAAGAGTGAAAAACTGAAACATGGAGTTATATTTTGTGGTATAAATTTTTATCTTAATGCATTCGCCACTATTGTAGTGTGTTTGCATTATCTGTGGGGTTGTGTTGGGATGCAGGTGTCAAAATGCATCAGTTTGTTATTCATATAGAGTGAGGGAGGTTTTGCAGTAAGCAAAACAGACTGTTGGGTTTAAAGCCAGAGTAAAGTCTAATTCAACTACACTGCTCTACATTCTTACTGGTTCCAGTAATAAGGACTTGTGGAAACTCTAATGCAAAAAAAGACTTTCTTGTATCTTTTATTGCAGGAATAAAACCGCACATTGAAAACATTCATTAATAAGGAGGAAAAAACTCCTTTTCAGACAGAATTTCTTTTGACACCGGTGTTGCAATTATTATTTGTTCCCACAAAACAAATATTATAAATTTCCCTAAATTAGTCCAAGTGTAGAGGATATTTTAATTACACTGCAAAATATTCTATTTTATTATCATTATATATTCTATTTGGTCTAGAGCAGTGTTTCTCAACCTTTTTTGGGCCAGCGCCCCCCTAGCCCTTATCCAGGTCCCTCACC